TGTGCAACTTCCTGCAGGTCAGAAAGTTGCAGACCTCATGGAGGACAGAGGATTAAGTTTGGTGTTCTGGGACTCAATGATCACTTCATGAGGACAAACTAAGTAAACTTCATGAGGATAATATTTCTTAAGATGACTCTTCAAAATATGCTAACTCTAGAGGCGAAGTAAAATTCCATTTTGAATTAACTGGTGGCATGATATCCTGCATCCAACCACCCTTAATAGGCGATTCTAATGGGGAAACGAAGGGATCTAGGCTCTGAAATATTAACTGGCCTCATTGTGAATTCCCAAAAGGAGTACCAATTTGTGGCATACTTCACCGATGGTGGGATATTTCACCGAGGATAACCAACTTGCGACATGCCTTGCTAGGGATCACAAATATGTTCTAGTTGGCCGAACACATCAACCTCACTGGGGATACCCCTGCTTCAGAATATGCATAACTAAACCTGCAAGATGGAAAAACACAAAATTCCCCAGGTATGGCATGACGACTTTGTCTGCCAACTAGGTACCCAATTTTTCGAAGAAACTTTCAAATATATCTTACCATGTGTAAGGCCCCCAATTTTTATATGCAATTTTTATCAAAAATTGGACGTCCTTAATGCAAGAAAAACAGTAAAATATAAAACGAGGATTTTGAACAAAAGACACATTTATTGATTAAAAATAGGCTTGTAAGTGGAAAGTACATCAAGATACAATTACTAGAAAAAGGTAATTGCAAACAACAAAAAGAATTCAGAGAGTAACAAAAACATCGAAATGCAACAATGGATTCCCTCTGAGTTCCAATCCTGCTATCAACCTTATAACTTCAACTATCTCATCACCTTGTTTCCTGTTGAAGATGATTGGAATGATTCCTACCTTTTGGAATTACCAACTATAGCACCAAAATCAAATATTCGACGCTGGACATAATCATTCGCTTAAATCCCTCTTTTGGCTGGATCGCCCTTTCGGGTTTTTAATTCACCGAGATACCCTTTTTTGCCTAAGCCGTCCATTCTGGTTTTTAACTTAGAGGGGGTACTTATTTTCTTTTTCATTCTTATCCTTTGGTCCCTAATTTTTTCCCGAACCTTTCATTTCTATTTCTGGTTCACCGGGATCGCCCTTTTTTTCCTGAGCCAGTCAACTCAGTGGGTCCTTTTATGTGAAGTATTATTTGACTACATCTACATTCAAAGGGAGTGAGAAGTCTTCACCATTCTTTGTTGTAAGCATCATAGCATCACCAGAGAAAACCTTCTTTACAATGAATGGTCCTTAAAAATTGGGAGCCCACTTGCCCCTAGGATCACCTTGAGGATGTATTATTCTTTTCAACACGAGGTCACCGGCCTTGTAGTACAGAGGCCAAACCCTTTTATCATACAATTTCTTCATCCTTTTCTGGTACACCTAACCATGACAAACAAACACAAATATTTTCTCATCAATGAGGTTCAACTGATCTAACCGATTCTGGATCCACTCATCCTAATCAATTTATGCCTCTCTCATAATCCTTAATGAAGGAATCTCCACTTCCACAGGCAAAACTGCTTCCACGCCATAAACGAGCAAAAATGAGGTTGCCCGGTCGAAGTGCGAGTTGTGTTGTGATAAGCATGCACCACGAAAGGCAGCATCTCATGCCAATCCTTATAGGTAACAACCATCTTCTGCATAATATTCTTAATGTTCTTATTGGCCGCTTCAACAACGCCATTTATCTTCGGTCGATATGGAGAAAAATTATGATCCTTGATTGTGAAAGACTCACATAGCTCCTTCATCATTTTTTTATTGAGATTAGATCCATTGTCCGTACTGATCTTCTCGGGAACTCCATAACGATAGATGATATTGTGCTTGATAAACCGAGTCACCACTTGCTTGGTAAAATTTGCATATGACCCAACTTCGACCCACTTCGTGAAGTAGCCAATAACAACTAGAATAAAACAATGATCATTGGACGCAGTCGGTTCGATCTTTCCAGTATTATTGATTCCCCATATTGCAAACTTCCAGGGATAAGTCAAGACATTCAACGATACTGATGGTACATGCACTTTGTCAGCATACAGCTGACACTTGTAGTAGATTCTGGCGTGGTTATAGAAATCATTTTCCATGATAGACCAATAATAGCCACCCCGTAAGATTTTCTTGGCCATAATGTGTCCACTGGAATGCGTCTCGAAGGAACCTTCATGCATTTATTCAATAATTTTTGCCTCTTCATTCTTATCAACACATCTCAATAATAAACCATCATAGTTTCTTTTATATAACACACCATTGCTGAGGAAGAACTTGGTAGAATACTTTCTCAATAACTTCTTATCAGTGAATGATGCCTCTTCTAGATACTCCTGAGTTTCAAGATACCTCTTGACATCGTGGAACCATGGATTTCCATCTAGATCTACCTCGGCTTTATAATAGAATTCCGGTTCGTCCAACCATATAATTATGATCGAAGGCGTTTCGCTAGCCCACTTGACTTTGAAAATGGATGCCAAATTGGCTAAAGCATTAGCAGATTGTTCTCTTCTCGAGAATTTGCTCGAATGTAATCTCATCAAAGTAAGGAATCAATTTCACGACATGTTCTCGATACGGGATCAAATTTTGGTGACGTGGTTCCCAATCTCTGTTAACCTGACTAATAATGAGATTAGAATCCCCAAAAACTCTCAAGCCCTTGATTCACAAATCAATTGCAGCTTCAATATCGTAGATGTAGGCTTCGTATTCCGCCATGTTGTTGGTACAATCAAAGCAAATTCTAGCGGTGAACGGGATATGAAAACTCATAAGAGAAGTAATAACGGCCCCAACACCATTCCCTAATGCATTTGAGGCCTCATCGAACACAAACGTCCATAGAGAACCTAGTTTGGGCCCTTCTTTTGGGTCACAAATATTACAATCCCTAATATAAATGATGTACTTGTACGGAAATTCAAATCTCATTTGTTTATAATCATCCATGGGTTGATGAGCAAGATAATCAACTAGCACACTACCATTGACGGCTTTCTGATTAGTCTACTGGATATCGTATTCAGTCAAAATCATCTGCCACCTAGCCATTCGGTCTGTAAGAGCTGGATTTTCAAAAAAGTACTTAACATGATCCATTTTGGATATCAAGTAGGTGGTATGCGTCAACATATATTGCCTCAGGCGCTTAGCAACCCAATCCAATGCACAACAAGTTTTCTCGAGCAATATATACCTGGACTCATATTAAGTGAACTTCTTGCTCAAGTAATAAATTGATTTTTCTTTCTTTTCGATCTCATCATGTTGACCGAGAATAAAACCCTTAGAACTTTCGAGCACTATCAGATACATGATTAACGACTTCCCCTCTACTGGAGGCATGAGAATCAAAGGTTCCTGCATATATATTTTTTATTTTATCAAATGCCACCTGGAAATTGTCATTCCACCTGACCACTTGATATTTCCTTAATAACTTGAAAATAGGGTCACATGTCTGTTGTACCCCAAAATTTTCCCTCCCATTTTTCATTCAAGATATTCTCCTAGGATTCTCAAATGCTCAAGGTGGCTCAAGAATTGATCAGAAAAATTCTCCTCCTAAGCAATAGGTCCACAACTAGGGTTTGGTATTTCTCAAGCAAGATTGAGTTTCCAATGTTTCAAGTGGATTTCATGGTTTTTAATATGTATTTAAGAATGATCATATCAAATTTCATGCCTTGGATCACAAGTTCGCTCAGTCAATTGCTCGGATGACTGAAAATCAACTGTATTGGGTAAAAAGTCAACATGTTCAACATCAAGTTCAAACGATCATAACTTCTTCACTATTCAATATTTTTGAGTGATTATTTTTGCGTATGACTCTCCTTGACGTCATCTCTTACTTCTCTTTACAAGTCAAGAACTGATCATGTGCAAAAGATCATCAAAAGTTCAAATACTTTAGGGGTCGCTTTGTGGGCTTTGACCTAATTTCAAGTGTTTTTTGTTGCTTGATTTTCAAGGATCGTAAATTCTACAATATTTAACATTTTAGGAGGACTCTTTTTCATGTTTTCATAAGGAATATCATCGAAAAGTTCTCTTCAAGGATCAAAGGAAAATTGTGCTTAGAAGACCTTGAAAGTTATCTAATCGTCATAGGTCATTTTCTTGATTTAGAATGTTCTTAACTTCTAATTTAAATTCATGCCATAATTTTTTTCTCAGGACTATGATTCTCACGTTGAAATCGTTCATGTTACATGATTGTTGAATATTCTTAAAGTATATGTTTTGTTCATCAAAAGAAAGAATTCAAGTTTGGCAATTGAGTTCCATTTGAATTGAGCATGGAATACGAGTTTTGTTTTGAGTACAAGTTCTTATGGAATCAAGAGGATATACAATTTTCAAAACACATTCAATCAAACTTCACTCAATTCTTAGTCAAGACATGTTCGAGATTGCGTTGATTCACTTATGGTGTCAATCTCCTTCAAGATTTTATTCAAGTTCATTCAATTACCATTCATAATTTCTTACAAGGATATCCAAGTTCCTTATGTGACTAATTGTCACGACTTTATCACTCATTTCACAAAAGCAATTTTCAAAGGTTCTCATCAATTTACAAAGCTAATTCAAAGTTCATGGTTTTTCATCTATCTTAAAGCACGTCAAGAATTCAAGTTCCATGAATCAATTCCATACTACATAATTATTTCATCAATATCATTACAAATAAGAAAAGGGCTATTGTGAAAAGTTGGTCTTGTACATTGAATTTAAATATTCATTACAAGAAGATTACAAGAGTTTTTTTACATTGCTAAATCCAACAATGCAATAGAATCACATGAGAATACCTAAGTTCTAAAGCCGTGATCCTAAGTCCTAAAGCCTAAAAATGTTTCTAAGCCAAAAGCAGTTGTGAAACCAAAGTCCAAGGCAAAGTAGCTAAGCCTAAAGCTAAAGCTGTTGTTAAGCCAAAGGTTGCTTCAAAGGAAAAATCTGTTACAGCTAAGCCCAAAGCCGCTGCAAAACAGTCTTGCTGCCCCTTTTTTATCCAAACCTGCTACAAAATAATCCATATAAACAAGTTTCTGTCCAAACTGTACAACGTGCCAAAACCGGCACCTGTTGTCCAAAGACCTGCTACAAACTATACACAAAAACTGCATAGTGTTATCCACTGCATATACTATCCAAAAAGATACACCAAAACAGCCAAAATAAGATGCATAAAAAAAGGAACAAAGCAGCATACCACAATTGTTCAAAAGCTATCCTATTTCCCCCCAGAAACCTTACTTCATTCACCTATAAAAAACAACTTAGAACCAAAAGAAAAGAAAGAAGTTTGTTCAACACAAACAAGAGAAGAAAAACACAAAAAAACCAATAATTTGATAGAAAAACTATCAACAAAAAAGACCTTTCATTCCATCATACCTCACTGCTATCTTTATCAACTCCATCCTCATAAAATTCAAACCCTTCCTCAACCAGCAACCCAATAACAATGTCGATGCAACAATTTTCACAATAGTAGTCCAACACAATTAAGCTTTGCATCAACATATCTGCATGATGGCACAAACCAAAATCTAACATAAATTATGCATAGATCAGAAGAAATAGTAATATGCAAATCATCTAAAGTAACAATACTCAAAAGCAATTAATTTGTCAGAAGTTGCAGATTGTCAGTTACACAAATTTATTCAGATTTCCAGAATCAAGAGGAAGAATTATAAGGAGTTAAGGAAGATTAATATCTCACCTCTGGTTTTCTGGATTCTTTATCTTCCTCAAGCTACAAATCGAGGTTCTACTTCACTTATTTCTCTGTATATTGTTTGTTGTTATTCTTGTTGTGTGAGCATAGTTTCATAGTAGGTGTGGCTGTTGGATATTTGCAGCGATATTGTTTAAAGCTTGTTAAATCTTGTTGATTGTTGATATTGTACCTTGTTGTTGCTTACGAAACCGCTGAAATAAGTAGATGAATAGAAAATATGTAGTTTGTGGTTTGAAATTGGAGAAAGATAAGGTATTTGTTGTTGTTGTTCGGTTATCACAAGATGAAATAAGGGTTTTGTTATTTTTTTTCTTCCAGTGAAGATGAATAAAGAGGATGGGGTATTGAGAGTTTTAGAATGGCGTTGCAAGATGGGAGAGTGAACAAACATTTTGTGAGAGGGAAAGAGAGTTTCTTTTGTTTTATTTATAATTAATTAGGGGTTAAAAAAATTAATTCTAACTTTCCATTTTCCCAATACCAGCGACGCCTCTTTCCCTCCACTCAGGGTTTCAAAAACCCTCTCTATTCCCTTTAGTTGGATCCGGGTTACGGGCTTTAGTTTTAAGCCCAACCTAGTTAGATTTAACCTCTTATAATATTTGAAGCATAGATATAATAGAAAACAAAAGTAGTGTAGCAGTAAGGCAGGCACAAGGAGAAGCTGAGGGTGTGGGTTTGATACCCGCCCCTGACACTTTTTATTTATTCTGCATATTTTTCAGGTACAAAACAAAAGGTGTTGGCTAACATTCTATCAACACAAACAATGTAATGGCCCAATGGAGGATAGCAAGCCTGTGAGGCAAAGGGGGGTGGGTTCAAATCCCACCCCATGCAATTTCTTTTTTTACTAACCCTTTTTCTTCTTTCTTCATTTCCATTAGTTCACTTTTTTATTGAACTAAAACCAATTAACTAGTGATTAGATTTTCTTTGGCATATAATTTATTATTAGCTAATTAATTAATTATAATTAGAGTTAATTATTATTATCACTTTAATTATGTTTCATAAATAAAAACATCAAAAAATATTTTCCTAACACTTAGGAATTTTCTTTAGGTTTTAAATACCTTCTTCTAATTTATTTTCTCTTTGCTATTTAAATTCTAGAATACAAATGTATAGGTCGCACGGTTGATTTTGAATAGCTTAGTTTATTTTCCCGCATTTTTCCTAATTATGTAACTCTCCCAAAAGCCATGTAATAACGTAGATTTACATTCTCGTTTTATCTTTTGCCTTTATATGTTTGTATATATATATATATATATATATATATATATATATATATATATATATATATATATATATATATATATATATATATATATATATATATATATATATATATATATATATATATATATATATATATATATATATATATATATATATAAGTACTAGTAAATAGACTTGTATGATAAGAATAAAATCAAACATAGATAACCTTAATTTTAAAGGTAACATAACTGAAATTAATACACTTTGCACACTTCATCTCTAGGGTGACTCCACTTGTTTCCTTAGGAAAATACAGTCATGTCCCTCGAACGTGGGGACGCTTTAGCACTGTCCCTCGGTTAAAAGATCGTAGTCCCTCGATGACCCTTCGATGTTGCCTTCGGTAAACGATATTAGTCCCTTATGAAAAATTTCTAAAACACCTTACAAGTTGCCTTCTATGACTGTACGATGACCCGCGCCTGTCCCTTACATCCAACGATAGGGCTTCCTACCAACTAATGGTAGGATAACACTATCTAAGGGAGGAGGTAAAGAACAAAGACTTTTGAGTAAGGAGATGGCTCGTAGTTGCTTGCTCACAAATTACAACAATTTCCACACCTCACACTTCCAAAACAACTACTTTTAAAGCGCTTTATAAACACTCTTGAGGACTGATACAAGGGTTATAATAAACAAACTTCTTTAAAGTGGCATCTTCAAAACACTTTTTCAAACAAATAATTTCAAAATAAACATTTTGTATGCATTCTCAACGATACGAGAATCATTACAAAATTTCCACACTTAGGCATTTTCAAAATATTTTCAAACAAAAAGAATTTTCAAAAGTGAGCTAGCGATTAAGAGCCTGTAGATGACTACCGATTAAAAGGATGCTGACATCTTCCCTTTTCATAACCTACCCCTGAAACTCAGAAAATTCTCAAAGGTCATTCCGGTTCTTTTTACCCTTTCCTTTATTGGATAAAAGAAAAGTCGTTGGCAACTCTTGTTATCTGTAACATTTGCGATAACAAGCCAAACCAAAAGTCATTTCTCCCACCGTATATCAATGTGGCTGTAAGATGAGAGATAAATCTAGAAATGCAGTTCAACCTCCCGAGAAAGCCACAAACTTCTTTTTCAGTTCTTGGTTCAGGCATTTCTTGTATTGCTTTTACTTTGGCAGGATCAATCTCGATACCTCTTTAACTTACAATAAAGCCTAGCAATTTTCCAGACCTCACCCAGAAGGTGCACTTGTTGGGATTCAACCTCACCTTTAATTTCCTCAGTCTTTCAAACAATTTCTGTAGGTGAACAAGATGCTCTTCTTCCGTTTGAAATTTCGCGATCATTTCATCGACATACACCTCGATCTCCTTGTGAATCATATCATGGAAAAGACTCACCATTGAATGTTGATAGATTTCCCCCACGTTCTTCAAACCAAAAGGCATCACCTTATAATAGAAAGTTCCCCATGGGGTAATGAACGTAGTCTTTGCCATGTCCTCTGGCACCATCTTAATCTGATTGTAACCAGAGAAACCATCCATGAACAAAAGAGACTTTGGCATGAGCTGTATTATCAACTAGAACATCAATATACGAAAGAGGGAAATCATATTTCATACTTACTCTGTTCAAATCCCGATAATTAACGCACATTCTGACCTTGCCATTCTTCATAGGCACCGACACGATATTTGTAATTCACAGCAGATAGGAGATAACACTCAGAAACCTTGCATCAAGCGATTTCTGCACTTCTTCCTTAATATTCTTAGACATCTCAGGATGAGTTCTTTGATGCTTCTGTTTCACAGGAGGACATCCTTCTTTCAAGGCAACTTATGCACCATAATATCAGTATCTAACTTGGGCATATCTTTGTATGACCAAGAAAAGATGTCTGAATACTCTCAGAGCATGCCAATCAATATTTTCTTTACAATGTCTTCTAATGCGACCCTATATTTAATTCTCTCTCAGCATCTTCATTTCCCAAGTTTACTACCTCAATTGACTCTTCATGCGGCTGAATGACCCTTTCCTCTTGTTTAATAATCTGGCTAACTCTTCGTGGAGTTCAAAATTTTCCTCATCTTTCTCTTCGACTTGGTTGATAGGATTATCGAAATCATAATTAGTGATAGAAAAATCGTTATCGAAAGGATTCGTTATGACAGTGGGATTAAATCTGCATGATTGATTTTATGTTTCTTTTAGACACATGATAGTAGAGATAAAAAATAAAGGCATTGCCATTTTATTTTTGAAACATAAAAGGAAATACAGAGAGAAAATTATTTGAATGCAAAAGACGTCCTTTATTTCATGATAAAGATTGCAAATGTAAATATGGGGGCCCTACATATGAATCAATGATGCCTTGGACATAGCGCATGAATTATTACATGATAAGAGAATAAAAGAAAATCACTCTTTTACGCGTGTTACTGGAATAACATCCTCGGAAGTACAGTTGTTGAGATCAACCCCTGGCACACTCGGTCAAATCCAACTATCAATATCATAATCACTGTCGATATCTTCAACAGTGATAACCTGCCCATTCTTGACGATACTAGCACTAGAAAACCTTATAGGACTTGATAAACTTGGAACTCAGGGAGCCACACCTTGAAAAAATTTGGGATAACCTCCCCTAAACTTCCCCAGCCTTCGGGACTAGCTGTTTTAACCATAGCTTGAGCATCTTTCAAAGATGACATGGATGTTTCTGGCTTCTTCTTCTCCTCGAAACGAGGTGTCTTAATCATCTGAAAAGTTTAGAAGCCCTAAAAAGGTGTCTCATGCACCTCACCCTATATTTCAACATACCAGAATAACGACAGGTGACTCACCACATACTCCTTTTCACGACATACAATAACAGTCTTGCCATTAACTGGATACTTGATCTTCTGATGAAGAGAGGACGTCACTGCCCCAGCCTTGTGAATCCATGGATGGCCAAGAAAAAAACAATAAGATGGTTTAATATCCATTACAAAAAATGTAGAGGTGAAGATCTAAGGACCAATCTTGACAGAAAGATCTACTTCACCAAACACTGTGCGCCTTGACCCGTCAAATGACTTGACCACCTCATCACTTAGATGCAACTCGAGCCCATAATACTTAATCTTTATTAAAGCCGTTTTTGGGATAACATTTATAGATGAACCGATATCAACCAAGACACTGTATAAAGTAGTCCCCTTGCATTCCATCAAAATATGCAATGCTTTGTTGTGATTTCTTCCTTCTGGAGGAAGATCAAAATCCATAAAACCAAGACCGTTGCCAGTAGTTATACTCGCACACAAACTTTCAAATTGATTGACTGAGTTCTCTTGTGGGATGAATTCCATATTCGACAACGTCATAAATTCATTCTTATGTGATTCAGAATCACGAAGTAGAGATAAGATAGAGATCTTGGCTGGAGTCTGACCCAACTGATCAATAACCCGATAATCACTCTTTCATATATACCTCATAATATCTTCAACATCATTTGTCATATTAGCATCCAAGTCTTGGATCGGGGCATCGACCATCACTTGTTGCTTACCTTTATCTCTAGCTATGGAATCTGCCTTATCCTGCATATCGTGTGGTGAGATTATTCTCCCACTTCTATTTACCCTTTTGGTGTTGACAATGTTATCAACATGTGACTGATCTTGCCCCAAGAATTTCTCTTCTGAAAGACCACTCTCATGTTTCACTCCCAGACAATACTTATCTCCTCCATAATGCCACCCTACAGCCTTATCACTTGTATAAGGGATAGGACCAGGCGTAGTAGTTAGAAGAGGTATCAGTTTGATCAAAGAATAAAAATTATTAGGGGTAAACGAGATAGAAATCACATCAATATCATTTGTTCTTTTCCACCCTTTTGACAATATTATCAAAACGAAGCTCACCTTCATTAATCAATTTCTGAATATGTGCTTTCAACTTGGCACAACCCTAAAGTTGAAACACACAATAAAAAAATTTAAGTTGTATCCTGGATAAAAACCTCTCTTAAACATATATTTTTTGACAAAAAGCAAAGGAGTAACCACCCTATTCACATCAAAAACAAAATCAACATCCTTAACTTCAGAGATAACACTCATGGTTGCCTCAGCATGAGGC